CAGTGACAAACAGATTACTACACATAATTTTTTTCAACATGAAAGAGTACATCTGAAATACTGGGGGAAAGTAGTAATGATTTTAAATGACCACAGCAACACTAACAGTTAAAGTCATGATGATGAAAAATCAGTATGGACTCCAGTATGAGCTACTGAAGGTGCAAATGCAGACCTACATTTTGAAATTCCAGAGGATAACACACTGCTGAGAAAAACCTAGAAAGTCACATTAAGGCTGAAGTTCCAAAATATAAATCATTAGCTAAAAAATACAGTAATCCTGAACAACTATTATTTATATTTAAGCCAATAAAAAAATTTTAAGTTATTTGCTTGAAAGTAAAGTAACATGTAGTTCAAAAAAATTCAATTACTTAAATATGAAAAGCACAAGATTAAAGATAATCCCTTCCCTAGAGCAGCATTATACCTAAGGTTGGTTCTGGGTAGAAGCCAAATATTCCAACTGACACAAAGGAATTTGCCAGGAAATAGGGAAGATGGAGAAAAGAGGGAAATCCCCACAATTTCATCTTCATTACATGGATTATGAACATAGGTTTTAAAACTGGCCCTATGCAGACAACTCAACTGACTGAGAAGACATTTCTCAACTGTTAAACAATAAAACCACAAAGATATATAAAAAACCTCAAACCAGAATGCAATGGGTTTTGCCAAAACCTATATTTTTACCTTGATAATTTTCTCAAAAAATTCTCTCTCAGAATAAGTCTTGGTCTCTCTGACTCTTTTAAAGATTAACTGTCTTTAAGAAAAGAGCTGTCTTATTACAGAAGCAGTGCTCTTGTATTTCCTAACGAATTTTACAAAAAGCAATAATAAAGGACTCATCTGGCTCTAAACAGAATCATTACTACTCTACGTGACCTATTTCTTGCATCCTCTTATCGTGAAACCTCAAACCATTAACAACCCTTTGAATTTGTAATAAAGCAGTGAATGTTACTATTTTTGCCCACAGTGTTAACAGCTCTCTAAGGGACAGAGAAAAGGCTTTTCCTTTTAGGAAAGAGAAGTTAGCTATTAAATTTTGTCTGCATACTCCCGGATTAAACTAATTTTGAGTCTCCTGACAAAAGGGCAAAAATGTTTAACTTCCAATTAAACCTGCAAAACAACCCAAACATTTTTATTTATGTATTTGTAGCTATGAGAGGGCAGTATCAAACTGCTATCTTAATACAGACTGAAAATATTTTCACCATTTTTTCCTGCAAGAATTGAAATTAAGTTATTTGTAAATATTCAAACATATTCAAACAAGTGATGCCTGACCAAATCTTTTTTTCCAGTAGCAGAACTTAATTCTAAAATGTTAGGCAGCTGTCATTCAGCATATTCAAATTTAATTTACTTTTACTAGCTCACTAAACAGATTAGGTGTAATTTTATTTTTTTTCTTGCAATTGAAAAACATGCAAGCCAATAAAGCAATCGAACCAGTACTAGTGACTATATAAAATACATAAATGGAATCAGACTTGATCTGTAAGTGTTTTCAGTGAGATTCAAAATTCAAAATCTTCAAATCAAATTTGAAGGTTTTTCTTAATCTCTGTAATTTTCCAGTGTCAGTTTTCTTCTGAAATCCATATGCAGCAATCACAGTGCTGCCTCTTTTTCCTCAGGGTCTCTCATATTTTAAGGCTGAAACTGATCACAACAGGTAACTGAGAAATCTAGGAAGGAATTACATAAGGGTCAACACTTACTGGCATTTACATGATCAAATCTTCAATCCTGCTGTACCTGCTCATACATAGTTTCATGCTGTGCCTAGAGGACAAGCTGTGTAGGAGACTGCTTGCATACACTGCAGTTCGTTCACTTGCAGGAGCTTGATGACTGGCTCGGTAAGACACGGCTCAACTAAAAGTTGTCACCTGTATCCAGGGTCTCCTTGGGGATTTCAAGCAACAGGTTGCTAATTCACATGAGTATACATATATATCTGGTAGCTACAAATGAAGAGGTACTACACTGAGTAAATGGTAGAGAAAATTCTCAGTGGTATAATTTCCACAGCAAACCTTTGTAAAAGGAATGTCATTCAGAACACATATATATAGATAGTTAGATATAGATATATAAAAAGGTATAGAACTTAAGTGTATGGTTTGGTTGAATTTGTCCAGTGTACTCGTAAAAAATACTTTACTTCTTCAAGAAATGTAAACATTTCTTTTCTAGAATTATGAGAATAAGCCAACTGAAAATAGGTGAAGGGTAGAGATGGATTTGAGCATAACTAAATCTTTTCAAGGGGCTGTGGGAAGTTCAGCATAGAAAATGTATTTCTGAAGGCTGAAAATTTAGACAATTGGAAATAGCCTAAGACAGAACCAAAGGTTTCTATTTATGTTCCTGATTAAAGAATCTCTGAAGCCAAATTCTTTCTTCTAAGGCCTGAAAATGTAACTGCCTCTTGGAAATCAGCGAGTTGGTGAACTCCCAATAATGAAGACAGACTGCGCACTTATGCTTCAATTCTGATGATATCAAATAAAATGCTAAGATACAAATATTCCACAGAGCTAATCTGCATAATTGGTACCACCCTAAATATTCTGTTCGCCTAATTAAAGTGGCCACAGTGGCACTGCAAAGCTATACTATAATTGAGTTCTGAGTTTTTAATCACTTGTGGTATCCCAGTGTTACTCTCTTAGTGAGCTATAGGCTAACCAGTCATACCATACTGGACATGAAGGATGGAGAAGGGTAACAAAACTTTCCTAGCCTGAAAGACAGAAGAACAGCAGCTATAGCAAATAATCTTGACTAGTTCGTGTTGGGAGGCCACAAGATGTATGTGTGATGGAAGGGGGGTGTTATGAGCAGCCAAGAGGTAATTCAAGAAATCTGCAGCAAAATACAGACACAGAGGCAAGACTATACTGAATATGGCAGCATGCAGGTACCAGATGAGCCTACACTTCTCCCTCCAGAATGACATACTATTTGCAATATGCATACATTTATGCAAATGAGAAATAATCATGTTTTGCAGTTCACATCAGTCAGCCCATGGAAAAATGGAAATCGTATCTGGGTGTCAAGGTGCATAGAAATCAAGCGATTTAGACCATTATTTAAAAACATGTAAGTAAAAAACCCAGCCTATTAAAGGACGTTAATCAATGCTACCACTCAGAGTTTCATATTATATGGGATCTCATTCATTTTGAATGAACATGAACTTCATTTTGCCAGACTTCTAGCCTATCAAAATTCAACATGTTACTGTTACTTTTTTCTTTAATATAACAATAAGCTAGCAGCATTAATTGTTTTGATTTATTTGTAAGTGCGAAACCCGTATCATACTTTATTATCCTGTAAATGCTTTTCTCAGCCTGAAGCATGGAAGTTACAAATGAGTTAATGCTCTGTTTAGAACAAACAACAGATGGAATTCACCCACTTGGAAGGGAAAGTCAGCTTTTCAGGGCTTCTACAGGATTGAAAAAAAAACCTGTTTCCAGCATTTCATAAAGTGTAATGGGCCTTTCAACACCAGGAGATGCAAGACCTTCAGAGAAACTTTTAGGACAAGACGGAACACTATCACATTATTTCTGCCAGGCTGATGAGATAAACTCCCAGGTCAGAAATTCAATAAAGGGATGAAGAAAACGGGCAACTTAATGAGAAGCACTAATTTCTTGGAAATAAATTGGGGAAATGAAGAAAAAGAAAAAGCCAAGCAGTCTGAAGCATCCAGAAAACAAAAGTCAGTGGAGCAATGAATTTTAAGCATGACCGTACTGGTGATTCCCTATATTCAGGGAAAGAATTTGATCAAAAAATATTTTGTTGCTCATACTTAGGCAACATTCTTGCTTTTGTTAACTCAAGAAACCTAAAATGAAAAGGCACAGAAAACTAGCAATAAAAAGGAAGCTTCCTATTTTAACTTTTTCAATCATTGCTCCTCAACTCCAAATTCTCTGCCGGCATCACTCAAATTCATTATACTTGTGGTTAAAACTTATCAACATTAACCAGCCTGTTGTTAGCAAATATTAAAGCACTGGCTCACAAAGTTTTCCAGAATACATCTCAATGTTTTATTTGCAAACACACTAAAAAGCCTCTTGCACCTTTATAAATGCAAACATAAAACACTACCCATGCTTCTATTTCAATGTAACTATAGTTGTAACAGTTCTCTTCTTCAGGAGGGCAACAAGGTCTTTCAGACTACACATGCTCCTCGGTATTGCTTTGTTTTCAAAGATTCTCTTCCGCAGACTGAAGATTCTTACACTAGCTCACTCTTTTCTGCAGCCCAGAACCGTTTAGCGGTACCAAAAAAGCTTACCCACTCATGTTATGGCTGTTTCAAAATAAAGATAGGACCTGGCACTAACACTTCAAATTTCACAGCATGAAGGCCTCCTTAACATCTCTATCAGTGACTTGGTAAAGGAGGCAAAATATACTCATGAGGTCTGCAAATAACAGTCAACTGGGAAGTGAAGCATCTGACACTTCAGAGCAAGCAGGGCTTGCAGGAAGTCTGGAAGAATGGGTTAACAGCAGCCCCATGAAATAAAATGAAGGCAAATGCCAAATACCAAGAACTGCCCCAGGAGTACATTTTTCTGATTCAGACTGTGCAACATATTACATAGATTTAAGTATGTTTGTTTATAGTTAGTTTTGATTTGTTCTACCTTATAACTACTGAATTTATCCTGCTTAATATAGAACCGTTTCTCTTTCAATGAAACAAGTTTTACTTTCTTATTACTTCCATCACAGAATCATGTATTTAAGGAATACACATGCTCATTTGTTCACTTTGTACACTTAAAAACATGTACCAAGCTTCTGTACCAAGTTAATCACAAAAAACACCTCACTTAGTTTCACTGTTAGATCCATCCTTCTCATTATACTAATCGTGCACCAGCAACAAGCAGCAACATCTTTACTGTGAGGGCTTTTGACACGGGTGCAGGACTCACCCCTCCTGCCTTTAGCAGCTTTCTTCTGAATTCCTCTGTCGGGTTGTTGAATGTGAGCTTTTCACAGCGGAGGTGATTTACAGGTGGGTGGCCTTCAAGGTGCAGGAATAAGTCATAGTCAAATCGAACTTTCTTAGGTTCTTCCTGAGGGTTGAAAATAACCAGATAGAAACATCTAGTACCAAAACTAACTAAGTTAAAAACAAAGGCTACATAAAGACTGTCAATTAAAATTACATCATTTTAAACCATTCTCTGTGTCCTCAGACACACACAGAATTTACCAAGTGTCAGCTGATCTACAGTAAATCAGAAAATAAGAGAAGCTCCTATTGGCCCATGGTAACACAAAGCAAAATGCACAAATTTCATGAACAGGGTTTACTTGACACTGTCAACTCATGTTTGGCCCAGCTACAGACAGGCACATAGGCAGATAACAGGATTCAGCTGACACAAGGTAACTCAGTCAAAAACAACAATTACATTTCTGAGCCATATAGAGTAGTGAACACAGCGCAGTAACTTCTGAACACAAATTTCTCCACTGCAGCCAAACAATTGATTTCTTTACAAGTTATAGAAAGAGGGAAGCATGAATCTGCTGCACCCAACCATATTTGATCTCCTACTTATAGCGGTCTGCTTATTTCTTAAAGAAACTTCACTGTCTTGAACAAGTGTGGTCAGGTAGATTTCAAGTGTTTCCCCAGAACTTTCAAGCAGTTAAAATTCTCTGCCACCGCAATGAAAAAATGAAACTGAATGTTCCCTGTACCAATACAGAAAGAGAAAAAACAGAAAAGGCAAATTTATCTCAGGAGAAACCACCAGTGCTCCAGTGTCCTGAGAAAGCCTCAGCTGAAAAAGGACAGTGGTTGCATCAAACAGACTTCAGTATCTTCTATCTATCTGATATTACAAACTAAGCCCATTTTGTGTTACACATTTACACAGTCCCTTCTAGAAGCTGTATGTGTATTACGTGCTTTTTTAAGATCCTATTAAGCAGCCCTTCCTCTAGAGGCCCTGATGTGCAATGGAAGTCACCAAATCAAGCCCTATGGAAGAACAAAAACAAAAAGTCAACTTGAAAAAAAGTTTCAGTAAAAAGGGAGCCATGAGGGAAGAGAATGAAGAGATATAGCAGAACTTTAGCACATATCCAACACTAGATGAAATCAAAATGCATGTTCCGTTCAGTGACAGATGCTTTAGAAATTCACATTAACCATGCTCAATTTTGAGCCAGGATTCCAAGTATGGGAAGAACAAAAAGCATAGAAATCTCAGTTATTCTAAAAGTTAAATCAGAGGTTTCAAACCTTCAGTACACCCTTTCAAACAGCCAATGGACATCTTAATCTGTCTCATCTCTAGATGACTTGGAGCAGAAACAACAAAAGGAGACCTGAAATTGTCCCTTTCTGTAGACAAAAGAAAGTAGTTCTCCTAGATGAACTATTTTCACAGGTCTGTCATAGTTCATAGAAGTAAATGACATCATTTTTGAAGGCAAATATGGATGATATTCCTTGTTAAAAATATTAACATGATTTCATGCAGAAAAATATGAAAAAAAAATGAAAAAATATGAAAGCAATTTATTCCCTGATCTTCTAGATCATGCTAATGTTGCTATAGGCAATGTATTGATAGCAGCAGTTTTGCCATAAAAGCCAAGGTACAATAAACGGTAGTCTTCAAACAATTTTGTGGAAAGTCAGATGAACATAACCAGTGATTAAAAAACAGACTAACTACACAATAGACCATCAGTACCACTGCACTGCCATTATTTCAAAACAGGGGAGATAGAATGTGCTGCAGTTTATGAGCCTTATCCTATATGAACTGCATTTTCCAGAGCATGAGTCTTTGACCTAAAAGCACTTTTAAGGAGTTTGCCTCAATGACAAACAATTATAGCCTCCTGTTGCTGAATTTGGGAGCAGGGGCTGGTTGTAATTTCTCTAACTCCTTATAGCTTGGAATATTTTTCTATCACAGTGAAATACCTGTTAAATTTTCCACCAATTTCTGTTTAGTCCTGGGAACAGGAACCCTTTAACCCTCTGTGATCCAGGCAGTTTCCTGTACCCCTCCTTTCTCTCTCCATGAGGGTATTTTCTGAATCAGAAATTCAACAGGTGTCTACCTTTAATAAATGATGATAGTACATCTCCTCTTCCTCCTTCTGTCTACCTCCTCTTTTTCTGTATTGGAATACCTGTGAACTAACTGCCTCAGGGGTGGAAAGAGCAGCTGAGCCAGGAGAGAGTAGTAATTTGCCAGCTCAATTTTTGTGCCACTCTTCCTTTGTATTGCACCTACCCCAGGGAAGTGAATGCTCTGCAGCTGTGTAACAGACTGACTCACAGTCCAACTGTTGATGGTTGTATTACATGACACCAAAAAGGGGTGAGAGGTGATTGCAAACTTCCTAATTCCACACATTGCTTGAGGGTAAGGCAAGTTCTTATCACTCTTGATCTCAGTCTAAGCCACAATTTTTTGCTGGGGAACACCGGAGGCTTGCAGTTTCCACAGTCAGAAAAAGCAGCCACAAGTCTGAGTAGAAAACAAAAAGCAATGTTGGGCAGGAAGCTTTCTGTAGAGATGCTCAGTGATTGACTACTGTCTTCTACGTTGTCTGTGGGATGAGCATTTAACAGATGAGTTGAAGAGACTGGCCTGGTTTTCATTAGATTTCCTGAATGAATCAAAGCACCTTCCCTAATAGAAACAGGGCTAAAAAGCATACCAGAAAGTCTGATCAATTCACTGCAGCAGTTCTTTTTCACTTCCAACAGCAAACAGGATTAATAAAGACCTGCTCTTCACAGATTGATACAGGGAACATGTCAGAATTACCTGTTCAAAACCTACAACTTCCAAAGTCCCTGAACAGAATTATCCACACCTCACACCTTAACAGGGCTTTCTGTGAAAAATAAAAGAATACTGAAATACATACATAAAGGCACACATAGCTAACCCCAAAAGAAATTTTAAATTATCAGGGTTCCAGAAAAAGTATTTTACAATGCATTTCTACTTTCTTCCTGTTTTAGTCTTTTACAAAGCATTCAACACATTAAAGATATAATGCTGATTTGATTAAAATAATAATTTCAAACTACATCTTGATAATTGGTATCTTTGAATCAGGTTAAGTACCATAACAGCTCCACCAAGGTGCACAACATATAAAGGGAACCTGTTGGATATTAAGAAGGTGTACATTAAACTTTGCAAGATTTTGCTCTTTAATTTCACACAAATCCAGTTTTTTTATCTGAACTAGTTGTTAGTAATGCAGACCCCATTATGTACAATTAAAAAAAACCTCTCTATTCGCTATTTGTGAGACTCACAGTAAGTGCAGCAATTAATTAGAATGTGAGTACTCACAATAACCTTAGTTTTGTAGAATGGCACTGGATTTGGTTTGAGCCTGGTAATGCTGAATATAATGAGCACTCGCAGTCTAAAGGAATATTTTTTAACAGACAAAGGATGCAAGATTTAAAAAAAGACTGTTTTGAAAGATCAAAACCTCAACCAATTATGAAGGTTTGTAATACTAAAATAGAACAATGAGTTCATTGTCTAATGAACATTATCAAGAATGGTGTCCTTCTCTCAAGTGTCTCTTTAAGCATTAAAGTCTGCCCACTTTTTAGCAGAGTTAGTAATTCCTCTGAATAATTATTATATTTCTCTTCTTCAATAAGGCAATTTTAATTTCACAGTTATATACTAAATACGGTCCACCGAGAGTCAATATTAGGTGCAAAATTGTTTAACTTCTCCATCAGTGACCTGGATGAAGGGGAGGTGCCTCCTCAGCAAGTTCATTGATGGCACAGAGCTGGGAGCAGTGGCCAATGCCCCAGGGCCGTGCAGCCCTTCAGAAGGGCCTGGGCAGGGTGGGGAGATGGGCAGAGAAGAACTGTCTGAAATTCAACAAAGGCAAACGCAGGGTCCTGCACTTGGGGAGGAACAACCCCAGGTACCAGCACTGGGGTTGATCTGCTGGAAAGCAGCTCTGAGAAGAAGGACCTGGGAGTCCTGGTGACAGCAAGCTGTCCATGAGCCAGCAGCGTGTCCTGGTGGCCAAGAAGGTCAATGGTGTCCTGGGATGCATTGGGAAGAGCATTGTCAGCAGGCTGGGGGAGGTGATCCTGCCCCTCTACTCAGCCCTGGTGAGGCACACCTGGAGTGCTGTGGCCAGTTCTGGGCTCCTCAGGACCAGAGAGGCACAGAGCTGCTGGAGCTGGTCCAGCACAGGGCGACAAAAATGCTGAGGGAATCTCTTATACAAGGAAAGGCTCAGAGAATTGGGCCTGCTCAGCCTTGAGAAGAGACAACTGTGAGGGACCTTACTGTTTGCAAGTATCTGAAGGGAGGGTGTCAGTGGATGGATCCAGGCTCAGTTTGGCTGTGCCAAGCAATGGGACAACAGTCAACAGGCACAAACTGATGCATAGGAAGTTACACCTGGACATGAGGAAGGGATTCTTTAACATGCAGTGATCAGGCACAGATTGCCCAGAGTAGATGTAGTCTCCCTCATTAGGGATACTCAAGAACTGTCTGGACACAATCCTGTGCCATGTGCTCCGGGATGAACCTGATAGAGCAGGGAGGCTGAAGCAGATGACCCTCTGTGGTACCTTCCAACCTGACCCATTCTGTGATTCTGTGAAACACAATTACAAATTTCTACATGTTACAGCAATACTGGGCTGAGGAACAGCATTGATAAAGATAGCTTTAAACATAATTCTTAACCAAGTTTACAAACTAAACTTCAAAACTTAAAAAAACCCCCTTATTTCCACATGTTTTTTTTTCTTATACAAAACATGAGATTCCATACCTTGTTTTTGAAGTAAACCTCAATTGGTAAAATGAAACCAGCATATCCAGATTCTTCAACTTTGTAGGGTGGGTCCTTGCACACTAAAACAGAATAAAAATGGTATTTTAAAAAAAGAAAAAGAATCTGAAATTCATCAGCAAACTAAATGAGTGAGTAAATTCGTGACAATAGCTCTATGTGATGCATCTATGCACAACTCAAACTGAATTTTTCTTCTGGCAAATTTTTCTGGCCTCCACTTTATAGATAGGAATCCTTATCTCAAATTTGAAAACTTTATTATTGGGGAAAGGGGGACACAACACACCACTTCATCATATAGTGAAGAACATGAGGAAGGTTAACTATGGTATTATGTTTAAATAATATCCACGTTTTCCTTACAGGATTCAGACTTCTGTAACAATACAGTGCATATTATTAGCCATAACACAATCTTTTACTTCAAGTTCTCAGTTTAATGCAAGGGTTTTTAGCTACTTTGCGTCCCCACGAATGTTCTGAATAGCAGATCTCTGAAGAGGCACTAGCTGTCAACTCCAGACAGTGACAAAAAGCAGGTAGTTATAGAACTTGGAACAGAAGTCATCTCTGCCTTCTCCTGTTTGACTGCATGGCAATCTCATTACAGAATTCAAATCCACATAATACATTAGCACAAAGGGAAGCTAAACTTGAGAAACCATGCATCTAACTGTAGCATCAACTCAGATGTTTCCAAATGCTGCATTGCTATGTATGACAAATCATGTCTATGGCACTACCATCTCAGAGAAGGTTTCTCTGCTGTAGATTGGTAGAATGATGCAATTAATAACACAAAATGTTCACTTCCTCAGAAACATCTCCTCTAGCTCTGTCAACCTAGCTGACTGGAAAAGAAATTCAAACTATCAGATGAATCACAATTTGCTCAGACGTATACTCCTTTCAGAATTGCCTGGAAGATTACAAAAATAATGTATTGCAATTAACTGTACAGGGCCTGATCACCAAAATTATTATTTTTAGCAAAGCACTACAGACGGGCACTTAAAATCCTTTATCATCCGGAAAACATGACAAGGCCCATCAGACACACCCAGGAATATAAACACTCTTACGTTCCCAATAGTACAACCAGTACTCCAGCTTTCTGAGGACATGCATGCTTGGTTAATCCCAAGGAAACAAACACAGCAGAAGTTTCTACTACTATCTTGCCATTCTCCTCATTTGCTAGCATCAAATCTCTCAAGGGTTAGGGAGATGACAAGTCCTTGGTCACCTACTGCAGTTTGCTATCACTACCTCGTTTACTACATGCAACTGCACGTTTCCCACAAAAAGGAAAAAGGAGAGAAAAAGAGCAAAACCCATCTCTTTTATGCACTGTTCTGCAACATTGTCCTCTTGAAGCTACCAAAGTTTATTTGCTTCTCCTGACCAAAAAAAAAATAAAAATAAAATCAGAGCAACTATAGTTTATAATGTTGGATTTTAAAGGTTTTCAAAAAAAAGCATTATGATGATTGGTCAAATCTAAGTTGGAAACTGGAAGAACCTCCCAGAAGCAGTATTTCACCTTATATTGGCACATCCTCTCCTAAGAAAACCTGACAGCACTTGAAAAACGTAAATATAATAGTCCTGGTTAAGCACAGAGCTTAGAGTAATATGTACTGGCAATTTTTCAGTCAATGATAAAGAAGCCTTCCTGCTCCTCCTCTGTCTTCAGTAGACAACTTGAGGAGACAGCCTTCACAATATTTTTTGAATGGTCACACACAGAAGATTGAAATCCACCTACACAAAAATGGGGAAAGATTATACAGCAGATACTTAATCAGATGGAAATGCAGAGGCTTTAGAAACAGTGATTTCAGGGTGCATATTTGTGACATCACAAATATCACATCATATCAGCTTCTTCCTGAGTGCTAAATTGATACAGAAAACCTTACTAGCACAAATATTTTTCATTGCTGTCCTCATTTAGCTCTTCTTGCAGATTTACACAGCTGTCATGCTGAACAGTACCTTATCAAAGTCTCATGGCTCTTCAAAGAGCCTGTAACTGCTCCCAGTTTTGATAAAGCCTGGATAATGGGCTGCAGAACAATCACCAGAAAACCACTTTGGGTGTCTTCCCAGACTGAAAGATAGGCTTTTAACACAAGAAAAAAATCTAGTCTTGTGAATTAAACTTTCCTGAAGTGAAAAGGAAGTGACTGAGCAAAGCTCAGTGCTATTGTGTATGTGAAGACTGCAGTTATTGTTATTTTTCTCATGTTATTTGTGGAAGTCACCACTGACAGAATGTACTGACAGAAACGGTACTTCTGTGCAGTCTGAAACAGCACTCCCTGGGCTAAGTTCTTTTTGTTTTAGTGAACTGTCATAAGGAGTAACCAGGGCTGCAATGACATCTGTGGTTTAGCCAAGCCAACAGGAAATCATCCTAGCAAGGTATACTGAACAGAGAAAAGAGAAGTGGCAAGAATTAAGTAAACTGCAGAAAGAAAGTAAGAAGACAAACAAAAAACCAAAACTGGACAGGAGAGAAGCGGGGAGAAAATCCCAAGCCTGTAGTGAAGAAAGTAAAGAGAAACAAAAGCAAATTGCAATTATAGACCAATAGACTCAACCAACAACAGAAACTAGCAAGGAGTGATTTTTGCAAAAAGCAGCATCTGGAGACCCTAACACTACCTTGTTAGAAATTGTTACAAACAATTCCATCCTGATACAGAGGAACAAAGGCATTTTATCTCTGACTGCCTCTTTCCTTTAAAGTGACACCTAAAAAGTGTCACTTTTTTTCCTTTAAAGTGACATGCATTTCAAGCATCAGACTAAGTGTCCTGAACACCATTTACTACTAGGACTAAATTATTATGGTCAGGTTTCCTTCTCCTAAAGAAAAAGCTTGTATGAACACAATTTCCTCTCTCTCTGCTCTCTCTTTTGACTAGGTGGTCCAAATTCAAGGCAGTCTCTACAACAATTAAAGCCCTGAAGGTTCTAAGATCCAGTTAAAAACTGGTATCTGCTAAGGCAGTTCCAGGGAACATCTTCACTGAGATAAAGGAAGCTGGCAACAGCATACAGAATAACAAACCAATTATAACAGTGTTTCCTGCCACAAGAGTTGTAGGTCCAGGAGAAAAGTAAAAAAACATAAGCAAGATTATGCATATTTCTTTACATGCACTGGCCACAGAATAAAATGTGGGGGTTTTGATGCCTGTGTCAGGCAAAATAAGGAGTTTAGTTCAGTTGAGCAGAGCACAGTGGGAGTAACACCAACATTGTGTATTCAATCCCTGTACAGGCCACTTAAATGTTTGGACTTAATGATCTTTGTGGGTCCCTTCCAACTCAGAATATTCTGTGAGTTCATGGCAATGACCTGTTATTGTATGTTTGTCAGAATAATAATTTCTCTTCTCCCATAAATGAAATTTCTAGTCTTAACATATTTGCAAATACATTTGCTAAACAAAAAGATCAACTAAAACAATTTTTGGCACAATTTTAAAACAAACATAGGAGCTCATGCAACACTATCATACTATTGAAGTCTGTCCCTTATGTTCACCATGTTTCACTGTAGTGTGGGATAAACATTGCTGTAACAAGCAGTAACACTAGAAGCTAGAGCAAGATGGCTTAGGTCCTAGGACAAGAAGAAGGTGAAGTGACTGTTTTCCTTAATGCTGAAGAACCATACACATGTGCACGCATGTACAACTGCACAGATGATGAATTCTAGTACTGCACACACTTCAGGCGCTCACCTACAGTATGCTGTCATTTAACCTCCTGTGACAAAGGACTACTCAGGCACTCAGCTGCAATGCTCGATGTACTACAAGCACTTAATGGACAGGAGGAGTTAGAAACACGCTGGTTATGCTAATCCTTTCATTTTGAGCTGCCTTCCTGTACAATCAGGTTCCAGTAATTCATAAATGATGGTAAGTTATTGAAATGCTCCTCAAACAAAGCCTGCCTTACAGCAAGCAACTGCAACTGGGCATCATTAACAACATTATCACTCCTACTACCACCACATGATTTTATTAATAAGGATGTCTTCTCAGTAATGTTGTGGAGGAAGCCCAGTTGTCTGACAGGCTCCCTCCCTGGAGATCTACCCCTTAAGAAAGACAAAACCACTTAGTCCACTAAGCTGTGGAGCCCTTCCTGCTTCAGGACCTTATGTTATCTCCCTGTTAACTACTGGTCATTTTATCCCAGTCTCAGATCATTGGCCCCTTTCCCAATTCTTCCCTTCCCTATAAAAACCCTGGCTTTTGCCCAGTTCAGGGGTTGACTGTCACATGCCCCCTTTGCTGAAGCCTGACAATAAAGAATTCTGCAGAATGCTACACGGCCTCCAATCTCTTGTCTATGCATCAGCTGGGGTAACCCATGAGCAGAGCTGGGCTGATCAGAGCTCATCACTGCAAGAGCTGAAACCACTTTTGAAAGAGTTGATCATGTGAAGCCTCAGGCTTCATTCCTAAGGGTTACCCCTGGATGGAAAATGCCTGGAACTCCCAGGATGACCATTCCTTCTCAGGACCTCAATCCAGGATAGTCGGTGGCAGAGGTGGGGGTCAGACAGACCCCCAGCCCCAGCCCCAGCAATGATTCAGTATCTGTTTAGGTTATACTGCCTAATCGTGCTATCAAGAGGCCTTGCAGAGAGACCTTGACAAATCAGAGGGCTGGGAAATCACCAGTTGTATAAAGCTTAACAAAAGACAAGTGCCAGATTCTGCACCTGAGATGAGGCAACCCTGGATATGCAGAGAGACTGGGGAATGAGATACTGGAGAGGACTGCTGCAGAAAGGGACCTTCCCACATCAAAATATTCCATGAATCTGTGACACTCATTCTACATGTAAGAAAGAAATCAGAGTGCACAGTTCTCGTCCAGTGCATTCTACAGCTGAATTCTGCAGAATGAGTCACCCAAGATCACAGAAAGTCAGAACAAGCACTGATGATTACCTGCCCCCTGTCCTATCAGAAGAATACGCCTTCCCTACAGCACACATAAATTGCTTAAACAATTTATCTCAAACGTT